AATCAAGGTGGGTCTTCTGCCTTTAAAGCCCAAGCTCTTTCTGTGTCAAAATGAGGGTCAGTGAGACCACAAAGGGAGTGATACCGGGGAGAAACTGGCTAAGGGAGGGAAGACTTCAGAATGAGAAGCAAGACAGGCACATTAGGAAGAGGTAAATGTGATCAAGCTTCTCTAGAACTCAATACTACTTTGAAATCACTTTAGGTAGCCCTAGTGCTGGGAACAGGGGCAAAATATGAACTAAGACATGTCTTTTGAGGAGGCAGGTAGAAAATATGAGGAGGCTAAGTGATATAATTTGATTTCTTAATTTACGTTTTCATATATTTCCTACATTTATGATTTCTTAATTATTTTATATTCATTAGCTCTCTGGTATGTACCAGGTATTATACCAGGCACTGGGATATGATGATAGGTGGACATGCCTTCTTGGAGCTTACAGTCTAGTGAGGAAACACACCTACTTTTTATTTTTCACATTTATTTGCCCCCTACCTTCACTGTGCCTAGGATGAAGCAAGTTTGGGCACAAGGGAAAGGGGGCAGAAGGATAAACTAAACCTAAGTTTGCCTTTATAAAACTAGTCTTTACTGTTTGACTATGTAAGTCTAAGATTACAAATGGTATGCTGGAAGAGGGGAAATAAAGTTGTTCACTACTTCCCTATCTTTTTCCCTTTCCCTTCCTTCTGGCCCATGTATGTGCCTAGCCAGTCTGTCGACAACTTGGCAAGCCATTGTCTCTGCTCATGGATCCAGGGTCTTAGGTGCAGGGTCTGGAGCAGAACTGAGAGCTTCCCTTTTTTAGGTGTCCTGATCCTTGGGCGCCAGAACAGCCCTTATCAGCTTTTGCTCCATAGGCTTGGTGTGGGTGTGGTGTGAGGAGGATAGGGGTCTGGGGCAAGTAGACACATCTTGAAGTTTGAATTGGCTACTGACTCTCCTATACCCTTGGGCAAGTCACTTGACCTCTCTCTATCTCCATTTCCCTGTAGATAAAAATAGGGATCACAATAAGAGCACATTGCTAAGCATTTTACTTACATGTTTTTGTTTTTTTTTCCTTAGAAAGAGAAAGGAGGGGTGGAGAAGAGAAACAATGATTTGTTGTTCCACTTATTCATACATTCATTGGTTGCTTCTTGTATATGCCCTGAATGGGGATCAGACCCAAAACCTTGGCATATTGGGACAAGACTATAACCAACTGAGCTACCGAACCAGGGCTATTTACATGATCTTTTTTTTTTAATTAAACACAGTTTAATTTTTTTTTCTTTATTGATTTTAGAGAGAGAGGAAGGAAGAGGGAGAGAGAGATAGGAACATCTGTGAGAGAGAACATTAACTGGCCGCCTCCTGCATGCTCCCCACTGGGGATCGGGCCCACAACCTGGGCACGTGCTGTGACGGGGAATCGGAAATCAAACTGGCAACTCTAGGTGCATGGGTAGACACCCAACCACTAAGCCATACCTTCCGGGCCTTGCATGATCTTATATCATCATTATAACAACCCCATAAGGTTTGCCCATTTAATCACCATTTGAAAGATAAGGAGATTATACTTCAGAGAGATTAAATCAGCTGCCCAAGATCACACAGCTATTTCATGGCCAACCTGGGATTTTAATTTAGGTTTGAAGCCTATACCCTTACCTCTTTTTGATCCTTAACTTTCTCATCTATAAAAATGGGGACAATAATAGCTAATTGTTCTTAGTGTTCTGTACAATAATTCTAAGGTAATCTGTCTTATTACTTATCCCTGAGAAAACAGAGAAGTAAGTGGCCTACCTGTGGACAGTCACACAATTGGTCAAACTTCAGCCTGTGTTTGCTCTCGTCTCATGGGGCTGGTGTCAGAACTGAATAATAATAGTTAGAATTTATTGAACCCTTATACAATTTACAACACTATCCTCATTTCAAATATGACAACTGAGGCATGGAGAAATTAGGCCCTAGCCCAAGGTTTCACAGCTAAGAAATGGTGAAACTGAGAGATGAAATGGTTCTTACTGCTATACTATATTGAAATGAGATAATGTATGTTATAGTGTAGCAATTGATCAACCCTAGTGGCCTGAGTGAAACTGAGTTTCTTGTTCTCAAACCTAGCTAATTCTCCATTTCTTTATCAACAACCATAACTGAGACAGGTCATTCTGTGATGTATACATTTTGACTATTATAGGTTTAACCTTTAAAGAAGGTCTTCTTTCTCCTGAAACTGCTTCACCAATTTTGCTTTTTCTTCATTTAATTCTTGTTTATAAAGATTCTGATTCACAAAATCATTTTGGAGAGGACCTCATGACCCAGTATCATATGACTGAGATTCACATACATTGATAATCTTGAAGGTATTTTTCAAATATAGACTTTTTTCAAATTCTCTATGTTTAAAATTTTCTTAAATTTCAAACAGTTTTCTTTTGTTGAAGATGCTGGTTTCTCTGAAAAGTTCTGATTGTTTTCTTCATTCTCTACTTTGGGATGTTTTACCACTCTGCAAGAGAGATTAAATAAAATTCATATTATCCTTAATCATTCTCTAAGTGTTGCACTCATGGGTTGTTTTCTTGACCTGTTTGTATGGTATTTGTATGGTGGACTAGCGCAGGCCTACGGAGTGCTAGGTAGAGTCACAGCTGAATCAGAGGGACTCTCCATCTTGGAAATCAAATCTCAGTTTACCTGTCCCTGAGCCGTCCTCAGAAAGTGCAGAGAACCCATACAATGGAATATTATCCAACTATAAAAAGGAATGGAGTACTGGTACATGTTACAACATGGATGAACCTTCAAAACATTTTGCTAAGTAAAAGAAGCCAGATACAGCCCAGCCGGTGTGGCTCACTGGTTGAGCATCTTCCCGTGTACTAAGGTTGCCGGTTCGATTCCCAGAGAGGGCACATGCCCAGGTTGTGGGCCCAGTCCCCAGTGCGGGGCATGTAGGAGGCAGCCAATCGATGTTCTCTCTCATTGAAGTTTCTATCTCTCTCTCCCTCTCCCTTTCTTTCTCTCTAAAATCAATAAAGAAAAAAAAACTTAAAAAAAAAAAAGAAGCCAGATACAAAGGGCCATATATATTGAAGGATTCCATTTATATGAAATATAGAGAATAGGAAAATACGTAGATAATAAGCAGATTAGTCGTTGCCAGGACCTGCGGGATGGCAGGGAAAGGGAATAACTGATAATGGGTGTGGGATTTTGGGGGGGATGATGAAAATGTTCTAGAAGTAAATAGTGGTGATGGTTGCACAGCATTATGAATGTGTTAACATCTACTGAGTTGTACATTTTTAAATGGTGAATTTTATGTTATATGGATAATTTCATTCAATAAAATCACATAGCCCTGGCCAGTTTGGCTCAGCAGTTGAGCGTCGGCCTGCGGACCAGAGAGTCCTAGGTTCGGTTCCCACTAGGGGCACATACCACAAAAGAAAAGAAAAGAAAAAAAAAAATCACATAAAAAACTAAAACAAGCAAATGATGTAGGGATGAAAGAGGAGGGGGAAGGAAAAGGAGGAATCCAGAACACCTCTGAGCTTAGTTTCCTCCTCTATATGGTGAGAATAATGTCCCCAGCCCCCAGTTGGCATGAGTGATACATGAATTAGTTACATGGGATGCTTAGCATTGTAGTAATCAAAATAAATGTTAATTGCCTTTTCTATATAAGTGTTCAAATCTATTTGTCCCCTTTATTACCTTTATTTCCTATGACTGTATGGTTTGTGGCTCCAGCCAGACAACCTGGTCTTATAAGGGTTTCTCCCACTCCTAACTGTATTTGGCGGGCTGCTCTACCATCTGGGATGTTGTCCTGCCTCCAGTGTGAAAGCTAGTATGGTCCTTGGGCCACTGCCACAAGATCACCTGAGAGATGATTCTGTGGGACCCACCTGCTGGATCAGACTCTCTGGGGATGTTTGTTCTGAGAGTCTGTATTTTTCAATAAGTGCTCCAGTGATGATCATGTGCATTAAAATTTGAGACTAATGTTTTAATTTATTCCTGTCTTTACCATCTCTTCCAGGAAGTCTGCTCAGACTGCTCCCCTAAGAAGCACTCTGACACCCAGAGTGATCCTTATCCAGGTCTGAGGTTCTGAGTGTCTGAGTCAGAGTTACCTTGGGTTCCACTGAGTCTTCTCTCTCCCAATGCCTGGCCCTCCTCTTGTCACCCTGTTTCTCCCCCCCCCCCCATTATTCTGAGTGTAGGTTCTCCTAGGATACTGTAGGAAGTGAGACGCTTTATTTATTTTTTTAATTTAATTTAATTTATTTTTTAAATTTTTGTTACAGATGTTTCTCTTTTTTAATCCTCACCCGAGGACATTTTTCCATTTTTGGTTCAGATAGAGTGGGAGGGAGAGAGAGAGAGAGAAACATCGACGTGAAAGGGAAACATCCAGTGGCTGCTGCCACCAACACAACCCAACCAGGGCCAGGGACAAACTGCAACCACAGTACATGCCCTTAGCGGGAACCGAACCCGGGTCTCTCTGGACCGCAGACCAACGCTCTAACCGCTGAGCCATACCAGCCAGGGCCAGATGTTTTTTTCCTTTTTTACCCCATTGACACCCTCCTCCCCACCCCCCCACCCCGTCCCCGGTTTTGTTGTCCATGTCCATTGGTTATGTGTACATGCATATAAGTTCTGTGGTTTATCTCCTCCCTCCCCCCACCACCCCCTCTTTTAAGAGTTGTCAGTCTGTACCCTATTTCCACGTCTCTGGGTCTGCCCTATTTCTCAGACCGTTATAATCATTATATTCCGCAAATAAGTGAGATCATGTGGTATTTGTCTTTTTCTGCTTGGCTTGTTTCACTTAGGATAATACTTTCCAGGTCTCTCCATGTCGTCTCAAAGGATAAGGGAAGTGAGACACTTTAGTTTTAAAGTCCTCAGAATCCTTTAAATCTACAGATACTTGGGAGAACTTCGCTTTTCTCTCTTCCTGCCATCCTACTTCTGACTTTTTGATGTGGTATGGAAATGGTACTACTGTGTCATACCAGCCTTTGCTTTTCCCATCCTATTTCACCCCACAGGATGTGCTAGTTGTGGGCCAGCCCCACCTACCCTGACAAGTGACCATGGATCCAGGAGCTGGCCCAGAGTCATCTTTGACTATCAATGAGCAGGTATGTTCTGGGGCAGGAAGAGGTGGGGGAGTTAGGATGGTGGACCAAGAGGTGTGGGAAAGTAGGAAGACCCCACAGAGCCCCTCATCATCTGTTTCTTACCAAAGTTCATGGTCACTTCATGTGTCCAAGTATAGTTGTCCTAGGATTTCTCAGGGGCTGAATTTGGAGATTTAAACCATGACTTTAAAAGGTGAAATAAGCCCGGCTGGTGTGGCTCATTGGATTGAGCGTCATCCCATGGACTGGGAGGTCCCGGTTTGATTCCCTGTTGGGGCACATGCCCTGGTTTCGGGCTCTTTCCCCAGTAGGGGGCATGCAGGAGGCAGCCGATTCATGCTCCTCTCTAACATCTGATGTTTCTGTCTCTCTCTCCCTTCCTCTCTCTCTAAAAAAAATCAATAAAAATATATTTTAAAAAATTTTAAGGTGAAATAAAAATGTACAAATATGCATACACTTAATGGGAAAAGATTTGGACATTGGGCAGTTTGCTTTTAATTTTTTTCTTGCTTATATATATTTTCTAATTTTTCTGCAATGACCATTTATTACTTATGTAATTTTTATTTTATTTTATTATTATTATTTCTTAATCCTCACCTGAGGATATGTTTCCATTGATTTTCAGATACAGTAGTGGGGGAGGGAGGGAGTAGAGAGAGGGAAAGAGAAACATCAGTGTTTGAGAGACACATTGATTGGTTGCTTCCCAAACAACCCCAACCAGGACCAGGGCCGGGGATTGAATAGCAACTGAGGTACATGCCCTTGACCAAAATCGAACCCGAGACTCTTTGGTCCGTGGGGTGATGCTCTAACCGCTGAGCCAAACTGGCCAGGGCTACTTATGTAATTTTTAAATATGTTTTTTATTTTTTATTTTTCCTAGAGAGAGAAACATCAGTGTGAGAGAGGAACATCCATCGGTTGCCTCCTGCACATACCCCAACCCAAGATCAAACCTACAACCTTGGCTTGTACCCTGACTAGGAATTGAACTGGTGACCTTTCAGTGTATGGGACGATGCTCAAATAACTGAGCCACACTTGCCAGGGCACTTATGTAATTTTTTTGGTTAATCCTCACCCAAGGATATTTTTTCCATTGATTTTTACAGAGTGTGGAGAAGAGGGAGGGAGGGGGAGAGAGAGAGAGATAGAAACATCAATATGAGAGAGATACATCGATTGGTTGCCTCCCACATTGGTTGACTGGGGCCGGGGATTGAACCTGCAACCCAGACATGTGCCCTTGACCAGGAGTCGAACCCCTGAGACTTCGGTGCCCAGGCCAACACTCTAACCTCTATGCCACATTGGCCAGGGCACTTATGTAATTTTTAAAAGGAGAAAAAAGATTAACAACTCTTAAAACGTAATTGGAGTGAAGTCCCTCATAGGTCAAGTTTGAGTCAGAAAAGCAACTGCTTTTGGGGGTTTATTTCACTCCAGCTCCCCTGATGGGTCACATTGTCACTTTTTCCAGCAGTCTCTGGCTGGATCCAATTTTCAGGCTTAAGGAGTGTGTTGTGGGAGTGGCTTCAGGCACAGGCCAAACGCAGGGGAGGCCAGACACAGAGCTTTTTAATGTACAGAGCGTCCCTGATTTTTGAGTGCCCCAGTTGGAAGCATTTCAGTGCCAGAGGTAAAGAGCTGAGTGCTGGTTGTTTAAGCAGGGAAGAATATCGTGTTCTGAGGAGGCCCAGGGGCCTGCTGCATTGCTGGGACATGGAGGCTCCCTTCAAGGTCAGAGCAGGCCCACAGCAGATGGCACAACTGTAGCCACAGGCCCACAGGGTACAAGCTCCAGTCTAGGGGGTGGAGCGAGAGGCTACGTCCTCAGGATTCAGGAAGTTAGCGTGCAGGAAAATCTTGGCTTTTACCCCAGAGTTTTGAAAATAAAGGAATCATGAGCTGAAAAGTTACTCAACATTGTGGAGTATTCATTTCCCACTGTTTTATCTTTGAGGGAACTTCTGTAAGGTTTCAAGGGATGTGAAGAGGGATTTGCTTCTTGGCCCAACTTAAGCTGTGGATACTGTGTTAGGGGCCCTCAGAGCCACACACCAATATCCTAGCAGCCAAGAGGACATCCGTGCAAGGCTATGGGATAGACCTTTTACTGCTCCCTGAACTGAGTCCAAGAAAGGGAGCAAATAGAAATACCCCCAAGTGGTTTTGGCTCCGTGGGACTTTTTCCAGCTTGTGTCAGGCCCTGCCCCCATCCCCAGGGCCTACTTTCTCCTAGCAGCTCCTTCCCTGGAATAGGGAGCTGCAGCCTGCCCGGGCCCTGGAATTCTCACTGAGCACACAGTGCTCAGCACAGGAAGTCTGCATCCTCAGGTGCCCTTTCCTCTTTCCCCCAGTCTTACCCAGAGCTCTGGTCCCCAGGAGAGTCTATGTCGCCCCCCCCCCCCCCCAGCAGTGTTCCCTGTCCTCTGTTTGCAGGTCATCGTGATGTCAGGCCATGAGACCATCCGCGTGCTCGAAGTTGGAGTGGATGCCCAGGTCCCTGCTGAGGAAGAAGGCAAAGGACTGGAGGGTATGGCTGCCGAGGGCTCCCAGAGCAGAGGTCCTGCTGAAGCCAGTGAACCTGCTGGTGAAACTGGACCAGACAACCCAGACTCCTCTGCAGAGGCGACTGGTACGAGGCCATTGCCCCCATCTGGTATTGCTCCATCTGGTCCCTCTCTGTGGTTCCCTAGGGAGCCAGCACAAGTCCTTGGGGCCTAGGTGGCTTTAAGGTCTTGTTTTCTTCCTGTCCACTGGATAGCTTTTGGCCATGGCCTGTACTTCTGGTCAGCTGATGGGTCTATCCCGCACTCCCTTGTTCCTGGAACTTTAGTTCTGGTTTCAGTCACTTCCAGACCTAAACTGGAATGGGTCAGGGTGAGGTGGGTGGAGAGGGCAGGGCTCAGCTGAGGGGACTAAATAAACCTCAGAGAGGGCTCCTAGGTCTAAACCAGACCCTCAGACCCAGTGCAGAGAGGACTAGACCTTTAGGATCCTGCCAGCCTTTTTGACTCAGTACCTGCTATGGTAAAGCTGGGAAGTCCCAGAAGCAGGGATGGGAGCATCTCTTACCTACCTTGGACTAGATGTAGGTTAGGTAGGACCTTGCGGAATGCCAGATCCTTACTCCCAGCTGGGCTTGTGTGACTCAAACCTGGTGGACTTATTTCTGCTGTCCTCCAAAGATAACTTGAGGGCGTGAGCTAAATTCTCCTATGTAGGCTGCTCCACCTACACCATCTCCCCTAATTACCTGCAGTAGGGCTGTTCTAGAGGCTAAGGCTGGTACCAGGCACAGCTTACTGGCCACAGGGCACCCTTTCATTGACTTTCCTCATTAGCACCTTGCAAAACAGACATCTCCCTTCGCAGGAAGCCTGAGGTCTCCCTAGCCATTTCCCCCAGAACACCAGGATTCATATCCCCTTGTCTTCTGCTTATCTTCCCTTCCCTAGATTGGCAATCTGGGCTGGTTGGGGTAGGCTAAGAGGGGGATCCAAGAAGACAGCAAATGAGAACAGACAGGCTTTGGCAAAGCAACAACTATTCAACAAGGAAATCACAAGACCTCACATCCTTTTCCTGCAAATTAGTGTGCAGATTTTTTGGGGCCCTCGTAACCTGCTTATTCTCCCCCCTCCCCCTTTTGAGTAAAGAAATGACAAAAGGCAGGACCATTTCCCCCTTGCCTTGAAATGCTGTTTCTATTTTGAGGCCCGGATGGTGCTTCACCTGTGTTTCCATGAGCCAGTGCCCTGGGGAGCAGGCAGGGAAGAACTCTGTCTCAGCCACCCTTCCCATTCCTTTCCATTGTGGGGATAGAGCCCCTTTTCAGAATATTTGGAAGGTTTCCCAGGTTTATCCACAGTGCCTTGACTTCCCTTTTTACCCTTGAAGTGATATTTCTTCTGGTGTCTTATTCTGCTCCTTATCCAAACCTGCTTTCAGCAGTAGACCCTAAGTCAGTTACTCACACCTCAGCACGAGTGTTTATGGCAGTGTGCATCTCTTCCTGAGGCTGGTGTACTGGAGCCTTTCATGAAATCTTTCTCAGTGAAGGAATTTTAATCATCGTCAAGCAGATGAGGCATTTTGGTGATGCTTTCTAAGAAGCTGCCAGCTTAGATTGTGGCCTTACTAGAACCTTTCTAGATATGCAGTATTAAACATTTCCTCTTAAAACAAAGTAACAGGAAATTTTTTCAGGGTGAAAAAATCTAGTGATTTACGGCACTCTAAATGACTACCCAGTCCTTGTCACATATACATATTTTTATAGCTGTGACTGCTGAGGGTAGGCTATGTCGTATGATGCTGACCACCACATGTTTCAGATACCCTTTTCCTTTATTGACATAGATGCACAAATCTGTTCTGGTTTTGGCTATTGCCAAACTGTCTGTTTTTTTCTTTTCTTTTTTTTTTTTTTATCCTCACCCGAGGACATTTTTACATTTTTTGTACAGATAGAGCGGGAGGGAGAGAGAGGAAGGGAGAGAGAGAAAAAAACATCGATGTGAAGGGACACATCGAGTGGCTGCCACCCGCACGACCAACCAGGGCTGGGGACAAACTGCAACCGAAGTATGTGCCCTTAGCGGGAACCGAACCCGGGTCTCTGCGGACCGCAGGCCGACGCTCTAACCGCTGAGCCAAACCGGCCAGGGCAAACTGTCTGTTTTTTGTCAGAACCAGTGTTGCTTTGACTGTCTTTGAATTTTTTTTTTTCTTTGAGATATAGTCCACTCAAATTCTTTTTGAAGAGAAATCAATTTTGTATATAGGAAGAAGTCATCACATGAAAAAACACAAACTCTTGCTATCAATGAGAGAAAAAGTAATTGGCTATAAGATACTGCAAAAATTAACAGTGATAAACGCTAAACTGGGTGATGCTGTAGAGAAACAGGTACATTGTTGGTGTTTCTGTGAATTGGTTTAGCGTTTCAGAAAAGCAGTCGAGCAGGAAGTGACAAAAGTCCTAAATGTATGCAAACTCTTGGACTCCTTGGTCCTACTTTGGAAATATATTCTAATAAAATAAATATTTTATTTCTTTGGATGGTAAGCTTTTATCATTCATGTTTATCATATTCTTGTTTTTTTACTTTTTATAAATCATTATGTTTGTCAAGCAAAATGTTTTTTAAGTTTTCCTAGGTTCAGATTATTCTCATCGTCTCTGACTTTTTATTTTTTTGTGGTACGTGCCCCTAGCAGGAACTGAACCCCGGACTCTCTGGTCTGCAGGCTGACACTCAACTGCTGAGCCAAACCGGCCAGGGCTCTGATTTTTTTCGGTAGTTGGAAATGCATCTCCCTTTGCAGTGGAATGAAATCTGCCATTTTGTTTTCACTTAGTATCTTATAAGGCTTTTGTTGCTGCTTTGTTGTCTCTTTAATTCCTTAAACAATCTGAATCTCTTTATTATGTACTGTGAATGGTACAGTCCCGAGTTAGGTCAGTACCTTTCCAGATTGAAACTTGGGTGGGGAATGCAGGGCTGGAAGGTTATCTAACTCAGTGGTTCCCACTGTGGCTGTGTGCTGTATCACAAGGGAGCTTAAAAGAAAAAAGAGATTAAGAAGTGGAAATTGCCAGTTATGAAAACAGTCATGGGGATGTAAAATATAGCATAGGGAATATAGTCAATAATGTTGTAATAACTGTATGATGTCCGAGGGGTACTAGACTTCTAGGGGTGATCACTTCATAAGTTATGTAAATGTCTAATCACTATGATGTACATTTGAAACTAATATTATATTGAATGTCAACTGTAATTGGAAAATAAAAAAATAAAGAAAAGAGAGAGAGGAGAGATTACTGGCCTCTACTCACAAACATTCTGACTCAGTGAGCCTTGATTAGGCTGGAAATCTATGCCCAGCTGGTATGAACGGGCCACTGGTCTGGTCTAATACTCATCACCCAATACCTAGGCTTCTTTTAATGTCTCACCATATATAAAATAACCCTTTTCCTTGTTGTGTGGCTTTAAAGAGGCGTCCTAGTGGGGATCCCCAATACCTGACAGATCAAGGCAGCAAGAGGAAGCTATAACCTGGATGAAAAGCTTTGATTCACGGAAGTTCCTTTAGAAGCTCACTGGAGCTGCTCATCCAGACGCCAGACTTCAGGGACTGGCAGAGAAAGGCCACCTGGCCTGGGAGCTGCTGTGATCCTGACTGTGGCAAAGACGTGTCCAATTTTCAGGGAATGTCATTTCAAGGATTTCACCCTGCAGAATCCTTGCCCCTCCCCCAATCCGGCTCCCGTCTCCAAAAAGTAGCCTGAAGGTGGGTTGAGCAATGGTCCAGTTGCTGGATGAGCCAAGGAAAGCTGCTCCCATTGATTCTGTCTAGCCCCTTCCCTCCCAACGCATTTACTTCAGGCCCCTCTGTTGAATAGGTGGATAGACCACAATGTTCTGTAGAGTCAAAAAATGAGAAACTGATACCCAGTTGTGCATAGGCCTGCATTTTCTTCATCTAAATGTGGGAAGAAGAGGGCCTACATTCTAGGTCTAGCACAGGGCTCTCCAACCTCCTAGTCTCACTATAAGTAGCATTTTGGAAGCTACCTTCTGGGCCAGCCAGTGATTGGTTTTGGGTTGTGCAGAAATACAGTGTGAGGCTGAGAGTTGCCACTTCAAGCTGACGACAGGACATTCTAGTCTGGTGACCTCTCTGCTCACACCAGGCTCACTCTTTGTCCTTTCTCTCAATGCCACATGAAGTGAAGTCACCCCCGGGGATCCCTTCGAGCCCTGCCCCAGCTGTCGCCACCTTCAGCCAAGCCCCAAGCCAGCCTCAGGCATCACAGACCCTGACGCCCCTGGCCGTTCAAGCTGCCCCCCAGGTAAGAGTCACCCCTGGGAGCTGGACAGAGAGCAATGGGCAGAAGCAAGGTGTGGGACCACCAAGATGGAGTGGCTATGGGATCTGGAAACTTCACAAGGCAGGACAGGGAAGGGGCTATGGCTTGAGGGAGGGAGTCCCCCACGAGGCACCCCTGGCCTTTCCCCTGCCCCAGATCAGGCCCACTGGGAAAAGTAGATCTGTGTTTACCAGGTAATCTCCTTGGGTATAGCAAGGACTATAGAGATTACATTAACTCTTTCATGCCATAAACCATTCTGTTTATCTAATGACTAAATGAGTGAATACCCTCAGTCCCTCTAGTGGATGCCTGGAAAAGTTAATGCATTGTTCACAATTCTCATTCAGTGCCCAAAGGCAGTCCCAGCACAGTGAGCTGCCTCCAGGGTCTCCCAAGCCTGCTGAGCTCCCTGTGACCTTTCGCTAGAGGCACAGATTTTTGAGGCATCCATCAAGGGTAGCCTCCATCAGAGCTTCTCAGAAGCCTCTGTGGGCCCTTGACCACTTGGTTCCGTCAGTCCCTGCCCCCTGCTTCCTGGCCACAAAGTGTTGGTCCTATGGGTAAGGGCCCAGGGAAGGCTGGAAGAGTCTGTGCACTCTCTGCTGTCCTGTGAGCAGGTCCTGTCCTTGATTTGGGCTGCTTCTCTGAATGCAGGCTAGTCTGGTCAGGCACCCCCCTCAAGGCTGAGGCTCCGTCTAGGGCTGGTCTCTTCCCTGCCCTCGTGCAGCCTTTTCCCCATTGCCCTCAGAATGCTTTGTTTGTGCTCAACTGGGTCTGAGAGACCCAGTGTTTGCGCTGTCGATGTTGATTTTTTTTTTTATTTCTTCTTTTCTTTTTGAAATCTTGTTTGCTTTTGCAGGTCTTGACTCAGGAAAACTTAGCCACAGTTCTGACAGGAGTTATGGTTCCAGCAGGGGCAGTTACTCAACCTCTTCTTATCCCCATCAGTATTGCAGGTCAAGTGGCTGGTCAGCAGGGGCTGGCCGTGTGGACAATTCCTACAGCAACCGTGGCTGCCCTCCCAGGACTGACCGCTGCTTCTCCTACGGGGGGAATTTTCAAGCCACCTTTAGCCAGTCTCCAAGGTAACGGCAACTCTCCCCAGGACTGCACCAAGCCCCCCACCACCCAGCACTACCATTCCTGCACGCGGGCTTGCCATGTTGGACTCAGAACCTGCAGCCTACCCAGGGCAACAACCCTGGAGTCCGGATCCGGTGTCCCAGGCACCCAGCCACAGAGCTGCTGCAGCACCTCGGGACTCTAGGTCATGACACCATGCTGGCCCAGCAGGCCTCTCTCACTTCAGCCAACTGTCTGAGACTGCCCCTCTCCCCCCAGACCAGAATTCACCCCATGACCAGCCTCCTGAGAAGGACTGCAAGAAGATACAACTTCTGGTTTTGAACCTACACTTCTCCAGGCCCAAGGGAGGGGGGATGAGAGATGTTGGCATGTGCTGCCCCCTGCAAGGATCAAGGGAATCACAGCTGCCTCTCCCCCTGCCCCACTGCCCCAACCCATTCTCCTTCTTGTGCCAGATCCCTTGGGATGGAGCTGCTCTGGGCTGCGGCTAGGCATTTGAGCACCTCTGTCTCTGCCTTGCTCCATAGCAGCGGCCGTGCTGAACACCGCTCTCCCGGCACCCATACAAGCTGCCCCACCGGTACAGGCCTCCTCGCCCGCCCAGCCCCGGCCACCAGCTCAGCCCCAGACGCTGTTCCAGACCCCGCCGCTGCTGCAGACCACGCCTGCCATCCTACCGCAGCCCACTGCTGCCGCCGCTACTGCCCCCACCCCCAAGCCCGTGGACACCCCCCCACAGATCACCCTCCAGCCTGCAGGCTTCGCATTTAGCCCAGGAATCGTAAGCCGCTGCTGCCCTCACCCAAGGCTGACCAGGGATGGAGCGAATCTTGGGTCAAGGGTGGAACTGACAGGGGAGGAAGGAGGTGGAGGACCAGCCCCCGAATACGGCTCTTTTCCAACACATCAGCAGAGATGGGCTCCCTCCGAAGTCTTCTCCTTGCAGCTGCCAGCCTGTCCATCCCAGACGAGAGCAGACAGCCTCTGCCAAGAGGGCTGGGCAAATTCTCCAGAACCTGAACCACTGGAGAAGCCTTGGAGGGTGGGATTGTGTCTGGGGATCGCAAACTTGTGAGCTATCACTAAGGTGGAGCTAGAGGCTCACAGCCCCATGCCAGCGTCTGTCCAGTGTGGGTCCTGGCTTGGCAGAGGAGCTGTTAGATGTGACTAAAATCGCATCAGCCACTTCAGCATGGCACGTCTCTTTCACGCCTGGCCTGAAAGCCAGAGTTATTCTTCCATGCCTTTGACCCCACCCGTCCTGGCTAACCCCCTGCCACCCGGGCCTGGATACTATTCAGCTGGTGGAGATGGGTCTGCAGCCCACATTCATATCTGCCCCACATCCCTACCTCCTGTCCAGTTCCTTGAGCCCTCTTCCCTCTGCCCCCGGCTCTGTCTATCCCCTCAGCCTCTGAGCAAGGCTCTTCCTCCACCCACAGATCAGTGCTGCTTCCCTCGGGGGACAGACCCAGATCCTGGGCTCCCTCACTACAACTCCAGTCATTGCCAACGCCATTCCCAGCATGCCAGGGATCAGCAGTCAGATCCTCACCAATGCTCAGGGACAGGCAAGTGGTCAAAGCCAGGGCTGAGATTGGGGGCTGTGGAGAAGCTGGTGGGGGGACCAGGACTTGGGCTGAGGGTCTTAGAAACCTCAAGGTGTGAGACTGCTGTTCATATCTCCTGTGTGGCAGCTCTCTGCTGATCCTGAGACCAGGCAGGGGCATAGCCACTACCTTGCCCTGGAGGCACCCACTCTACTTGAGGTGAACACCCACTTCATTCATGGAGCACCGGCTTTGTGGCCAGGGTCTGCGCTAGTTGCTTTCTCATATATCATCTCACTTTGTTTTGAGTACAGATCTATTAGGTAGATTTTTATTCCCATTTTACAGAGATTGAGGTTCAGATAAATTAAGCCACACAGCTAAACTGGCAGAGCAAGGGTTCACATCCAGGGCTGTCTGACTCCACATGCAGACCCATTCCTGCTCCATCACACCTCTGGAGATAGAATAAAGGAAGCAGGCCCTAGACTGTGAATCCTTCACTTTATTGAGGAAGAAACTGAAGCCCATAGGGGTTAAGTGATTCATCTAAGCCCCTCCCCTGCCAGTGTGGGGATTTGGGTTGGAGGTAGAGCTGGACACTGCCCTCACACTTAGATTCCCTGCCTTATTTCCTCCCAGGTAATTGGAACACTTCCATGGGTAGTGAACTCGGCTAGCGTGGCAGCATCAGCACCAGCCCAAAGCCTGCAGGTCCAGGCTGTGACCCCTCAGCTACTGTTGAACGCCCAGGGCCAGGTGATTGCAACCCTGGCCAGCAGCCCCCTGCCTCCACCTGTGGCTGTCCGGAAGCCAAGCACGCCTGAGTCCCCTGCTAAGAGTGAGGTACAAGGGCTGGGGTTGGGGATGGGGGAAGACAGTGCTGTCTGGCATGGGCTGCCTCTCTTCAGACTATAGGCAGGACAAGATTATTTTTGAATCCCCTGAGAAAGCAGGGCACCTCCCCAAAGTGGGGGGAGGTTCAGGGTAGAAGGCCCGCGTGAGTCACGCATGCTCTACCCAGGGAAACTGCACCCCCACCCCTGACCCCTAGCCAGACACACCAAAAACTTGTCTATGGACCCTCAGAAGCTAGTGCCATTCTGAGAAGGCCCAGGAAGAGGAGGTCAAAGTAAACTGGGCCTTGATCAGCTCCAGAGTGAACAAACTGCTGGAAAAGCCCTGGGAGGTTAGTTCTGCATCTCCTGCCTCGTCCCCCTTATCCCTTCACCCTTCCACTCTGTACTGTGGCTTTGTTTATTAACTTATTTGTTCATTCTAGGAGCAGATTTTGAGTGCCTACTGTATTCCAGGTGCTGAAGATAGAGTGATGAATTAGATGCTCCTCCTAGCCTTAAGTAGTCCAGCACTGGAGACAAGTACAAGGCAGCCTGACAAAGACTATGACAGGGGCACAATAAGGGAACCCAGAGAAGGGACCTCTAAAAAAACTGGGGAGTTCAACAATGCTTCCTAGAGAAGGGACGTTGAACTAATGTAAAGGGATGAGTTGGATGAGAGAGTATTTTATCTTTAGGAAATTATAAGATGTATAGTGTGCAGGGGTTCTCAAACCTGAGTGTGCGTCAGAACCACCTGGAGGGTTTGTTGGAATGCAGGTTCCTAGGCCCTGCCCCAGAGTTTCTTATTCAGTAGGTCTGGAGTGGGGCCCAAGAACTCCTCCTTCTATCAAGTTCCCAGGTGTTGAGGCCCATGGTTCTCAAATGTGGCATGCTGCTTCCCAGCTTTGTGAATAATCTCTTAGCCTCATCTGTAAAATGGAGATTATAAAAGGCACAACTGCAAAAGGTTATGAGTGTTGAAGGACAGATTACACACAGGCTATTAACACTCTAGTACACTCTAGCACTTGAAAAACAGTGTTTTTATTGTTATCTCTCTTAGCTAGTGAGGGGGCATGGAAGGGTTTTTAGCAGGGAAATGGCTGACTAAATGTGCATTAAAAAAATTTCCTCTGTTGCCCAAGTGGAGCCAAGAACTGGACTATGGGGAGACTTAAGTCCTTATCACCTGTTAGATGGCAGCTTAAACAGTTCTAGCAAGAGACCAGGGACTCTGAATGAAGACTAAGGCCCTGAGAAGCAAGGAGTGGACTTGAGGGCTCTCGAGAGGTAGAAAGAATCCAGGGAACCGGACCCATCCTAGAGAAATTTGAACTTTTCAGAAAACTTTAAAAAAAAAATACTAATGTCATATAGTTGTTTCTTCTGATTATAAATGATACATGATTTTTATAAAAATTCCAAGATTAGTCCTGGCTGGTTTGGCTCAGCAGTTAGAGCGTCAGCCTGTGGACTAGAGAGCTGGGTTCGGATCCTACTAAGGGCTTGTACCTCGCTTGCGGTTTGTCCCTAGCCGTGGTTAGGGTTGTATGGGTGGCAACCAGTCAATGGTCTCTCTCATGTTAATGTTTCTCTCTCTCCTTCTCTTCCTCCCTTTCTCCCTCCCGCTCTATCTAAAGATAAATGCAAAAATGTCCTCGGGTGAGGATAAAAATAAAATAAAAACTTCTTGCCCTGGCCAGATTGGCTCAGCAGTTAGAGCATCGGCCCCTGGGCCAGAGAGTCCTAGGTTTGCGCTAAGGGCATATACCCCGGTTGGGGTTGTGTGAGGGCAACCGGTTGGTGTGTGTCTCTCGCATCGATGTTTCTCTCTCTCTTCCTCCCTCTCCCACTCACGCTATATCTAAAGATACATGCAAAAAGGTCCTCAGGTGAGGATAAAAATATAAAAGTAAAAAAAATCCAATATTATGCATAATGTAAAAAAGTAAATATCCCTTCTCATTCCACCTTCATTTTTTTTTCCTGGAAATTTAAATGCATTTTTTAAAAGAATTATCCCAAGGAGAGTGTCTAGGGGGAAAAGGAGAAACATCTGTAACAAAAATAAATTAATAAAAATTGGAAAAATAAAAAAATAAAAGAATTATCCTAGTCCAGCTGGTGTGGCTCAGTGATTGAGCATCAACTCATGAACCAAGAGGTCACCGGTTCAATTCCTGGTCAGTGCACATACCCAGGTTGTGGGCTTGGTCCCCAGTGGGGGGCGTATATTCCCTCCCTCTCCCTTCCTCTCTCTCTAAAAATCAATAAAAATATATTTTAAAAAATTTAAATTATCTCATAAAACCTATTTTTCACCTTTTTTTTCTCCCACTTAGCACAATGGCTCTGAGCTTTTTTTCTTTCTTTCTTTTTTTTTTTATTCTCACCTGAGGACATTTTTCTATTTTTTGTTCAGATAGAGTGGGAGGGAGAGAGAGAGAGAGGAAGAGAGGGAGAGAGAGAAACATCAATGTGAAAGGGACACATCGAGTGGCTACCACCCACACGACCCAACCAGGGCCGGGGACAAACTGCAACTGAGGTACATGCCCTTAGCGGGAACCGAACCTGGGTCTCTCTGGACCACAGGCCGATGCTCTAACCGCTGAGCCACACCGGCCAGGGCTCTGAGCTTTTCTTCCATGTCAGTAGTTAAGACATATACTTTATTCTTTTAATTTATTTTTTGTTGTTAATCCTCACCTGAGGATATTTTTTCCATTGATTTTTTTTTAGACAGAGTGGAAGGGAGGGAAGGCGGGGGTGAGGGGGTGGAGGGAGAGAGAGCGAGAGAGAGAAATATCGATGTGAGAGAGACACATTGATTAGTTGCCTCCTGCACGATCCTGACTGGGTTTGGGGATTAAACTTGCAATCTAGGTACGTGCCCTTGACCAGAATCAAACCTGCACCTCTTTGGTCCATGAGCCCATGCTCTAACCACTAAGCTACACCAGCCAGGGCATATATACCTTATTCTTTTTTATCCTCACCTGAGGACATTTTACCATTTTTTGTTCAGGTAGAGTGGGAGGGAGAGAGAGGAACAGAGAGAGAGAGAGAAACATCGATGTGAAAGGAACACATCGAGTGGCTGCCACCCACACGACCAACCAGGGCCGGGGACAAACCGCAACCGAGGTACATGCCCTTAGCGGGAACCGAACCCGGGTCTCTCAGGACCGCAGGCCGATGCTCTAACCGCTGAGCCAAACCGGCCAGGGCTACCTTATTCTTTTAAATGACTGCACAGTATCTCACAGGGAGGTTCCAGATGTCATTCGCCAGTTCTCTACTCAATGATGTTTGGGCCTGGGAGGCTCTAAAATCAGGTTAGGTTTCTCCTCTGAGGGCAGCGATTTGAGAGCAGTTGTCTCGAAGGTGGACACCTGTGGGGCTTTGACCAACTGTATTGGACCTTTCTGAGATTCTGACCTGCCTGTGTCACGGTGGCCATGAGGCTCCAGCTTGGTAGGACAGGTTGCTGTGCCTATTTCAGTGGTCATTATCATTGTGTGGGTGATAATAAGTAGCGTCTAGTCTTGCTTTTTGATGGGGCACAGGTGGGAGTGTGGAGTTCATGCCCATTTGTGCTCCTGTCTCTGATCCATGCAGGGACTCTGACCCTCTGAGCTGGGCAGGTGGGTAGTAGAGGCTTGTTGGCTCTCTTCTCCTAGGTGCAGCCCATCCAGCCTACGCCAGCTGTGCCCCCGCCTGCTGTGGTCATCGCCAGCCCAGCCCCAGTGGCCAAGCCATCTGCCTCTGCTCCCATCCCAATTACCTGCTCAGAGACTCCCACTGTCAGCCAGTTGGTGTCCAGTAAGTGGCTCCTGGAGGAGGTTATGGAGAATGGGAGAGGCATTTATTTGGACACCCTGACCTCTTTGGATACTGCTCTCCTTAATAAACTTCCTGGAGTCCAAAGGGGAAGGGCAGATGCTCAATGCCAGGGACTGGCTTTCTTATCCCTGTTGAGCTGGATTCTAGGCATGATGAGGCTGTATCTCCCTTGGCTGTCTCTCCTGTGGTCTCTCACCCAGTATTTGAAAATGTGGATGGCTAACAGGTGTGCTCACGGGCCAGAAGTAGGGAGAATGGGGAGGGTCAGCAGTCAGAACAGGAAGAACTTGAAAATAGACCCCTACCTCCAGACAGGTTGCTCCAGGGCCCTTTCTCTCTGACTCCCAGTATTGTTTATCTTGAGGACAAGGTTAATGAGGGTCTTAAGGGTGCATAGACCTTTTGCCAAATGTCCTAATCCATCGGCACCAGGCCAGGCCAATGTGCTGGTTAAGCAGTGATGATTATCTGTCCTCTGCACTCACCCCTGGTCCCTTCTCTGGCCTAGAGCCACATACCCCAAGTCTGGATGAGGATGGGATCAACTTAGAAGAGATCCGGGAGTTTGCCAAGAACTTTAAGATCCGGCGGCTGTCCCTGGGCCTCACACAGACCCAGGTGGGTCAGGCTCTGACTGCTACAGAAGGCCCGGCCTACAGCCAGTCAGCCATCTGCCGGTAAGTAAGGCAAGGTCAGGGCCTGCTCAAGTGCCTGGTGCCACGAGGGATTCACAGAGACCTGGGTATCTGATCCCTTTATTCTCCCTTGCTCCTGCCTTCTTCCAAATCAGGAAGGCTGCTTTAAGGATAAGCTATGAATACCTGGAGTAGCCAAAGACTGTTCAGGTCCTCTGAGGGGCTTCTGATGTTTATCCTCCAATCCTGAGCATTTACATAGACTTTTTCTGGGAACCCAAGACTCTAATTCTAGGAATCCTAGAGGGAAAGGAGTACAGCTTATGGAATTAGTCACAGCGGTGGGAACTTGAGTTCTGGCTTGGCTCTGAGCTGTACTGCACCATCACCCCTATCATGCTCCCATCTTCCCGTCTTGTAAGGCTCGACTCTGCAGCGATGTAGCTGGCTCTGGTGCCCGTATCACAGGAGGGGTAGCAGAGGGTTTCAAACAAGAATGAGTGCATGGCTCAGGTGTGGCTGAGAGGTTTCATCTGCCTTCCAATTCCATAAATAGACTAGAGTGACTATTAATCTCAGTGCCATGTTGGGAAGACTGTAGTCACATCCAGGGTCTGACTTGGTGATGCTGCTCTAAGTGTGATTAGAGGAGGACAGCACTCAGGACATCCATGTGCCCTGCCTGGAGGCCTCTCAAGATAACACGTCAGTGAACTCACTTGTTTCAGTGTGAGGGTTCTGGAATGGTTGTTCGTAGGGCAGCTGCACTGTTATCACTGTCCTACTGAGCTGAGGCCATGGGAATAGTCCCTTTGCTATGACCTGGGATACAGGACAGTGTGAGATATCTGGGCTTAACTGAGCCAGGGGGGTCTTGGTAGGGGTGGTGAGGAGCAGCCCCTTAAGGAGAATGCTCATACCCGGGTATGGGGAGTAAGACACTCTCACTGTCCCTCTCTGGGCTTGGGTCACCTACAGGTTTGAGAAGCTGGACATCACACCTAAGAGTGCCCAGAAGTTGAAGCCAGTACTGGAGAAGTGGCTGAATGAAGCCGAACTCCGGAACCAAGAAGGCCAACAGAACCTGATGGAGTTTGTGGGAGGTGAGCCCTCCAAGAAACGCAAACGCCGCACCTCCTTTACTCCCCAGGCCATAGTGGCTCTCAATGCCTACTTCGAGAAGAACCCCTTGCCCACTGGCCAGGAAATCACTGAGATTGCTAAGGAGCTCAACTATGACCGGGAGGTTGTGCGGGTCTGGTTCTGCAATCGGCGCCAGACGCTCAAGAACACCAGCAAGCTGAACGTCTTTCAGATCCCTTAGGGCTCAGCCCCCAGCCCTGTGTTCCAGCACTTTGTACTTGTCCCTTGGCACCCAGCTGCAGCCACAGCCGTGACAGCACCTGTCATTCTGCTACATGTGGCTCTGCTTGTCCTGGGTCTTGAGACCCCACTGTGTGCATGCCCGTCAGCTGCCTGTGCTGTCCCCCACATATTGCACATCGTGGGGAGGGCATAGGGGCCCAGTAAGAGCACCAGGCTCTGGGCTGGTCATGCCAAGGGAGGGGGTTTGTGGTGTCACTTAAAAAAGCACTTTGCTAACGTGGTTTTTGAAGGGTGAGTTTTGAAGGGTTGGGAACCAGAAACTCCCTGTCTTTGGGGCAGGCCTGCAGCAGCCCCTACGGACTGACCATTAGCTCTTATTTTCAACGGCTTCTCTTTCCACCTCTCTTTGCTCCTCTGTGCAAGCGTGGCAGGTACAGCAGCTCATCCAGCAGAACCACAGCCTTGCCCTCTTTGCCTGCAGGCACACTATCCCCTGAAAGGACCCAAGAGACACAATTCTGAAAAGGGTGATGTGCTGCTCAAAATGTCAGACTCAGTGTCTACCTTGACCTCAAGGTCAGAAGGTAACTCAGCCCTGGGGCCGGAACGTGTCACCTCCTCCCCCACCTCTCCCAGGTTCCTTTTGAGGGAAATTGCACTAAAGCAGAACCTTTTCTTGTGTAATCCATGTTGGAAGGAAGCAACACTGAACTCTAGCTGTCCTGGACTTGACCTGGGTCTGTGGCAGGTTGGGAACTTAGTAAATGAGGCTATTCTTCCAGACTTTAATCTCTGCCCATGACCCCCCCCCCCCCCCAACACTGTGGGTTAAGAGAATTTACAGCCTGAAAATCCCCTTCCCAAGTAAGCAGGCACTTTGGAGAAAAATGAGGAAAGAAATGATTCTTTCCCTATCTTCACTTTCTTCCCCAACCCAGGACTGGGGCCTTCTCTGAAGGGGCAAATTAAACAATAAATCAGACAGCAAGGCCTGGGGGAAAGGCCAACATTCAAGAGAGCTGATGGCAGCTCAGGAAGGTCTCTTGTGGAAGGTGACTTAACTCTAATTTTCTTTGTAGCTTTAAGCCTTGGATACTGCAGGAGAAATCTTATTTTGTCCAGAGTCTAAGACCCTATATTTGTGCAAGTAATCTCCTCAGTGCTCCACTGAACCAAGAACACCCCTGGAGCAGGATGTTTTTTGCCTCTAGAGAGGGTAACTATGGCATATTGGGGGTTGGCATCACATCCGAGCTCCTCAGTGTTTCCCAGCCTCAGTGTGGCCAGATAACCCCTGGAATTCAACATCCGACTCCGGGAAGTCGGGAGAGCTCTAAGAGGTTTGCTCAGATGAGCCCAGCCTTGCTGGGGAGAGCGTCCCTAAAGGGCCACCAGTCACAGGAGTCAGCCACCCCCTCTCTTCACCACTCTTGTCCTTACCAGCCAGGTCTCTAGCAGCTGCCTCCACTGTACCTCACATGATACACCCTGAAGAAGTGACACCAGGCAAGGGCACATCCCCAGCTGGTCACTGGCAGCCACCTCCTAGCCTAGCTTGCTCCGGCATGCTGTTTCCTTTCCTGCCTACAACTGGTCCTTCCCAGGCCCTGCAGTGCCAGCATGGCCACCCTCTTGGTAGCCCTGCCAGTGAGAAGACAGTTGTGTCAAATTGCCACACACACACACTGCCACCCCACTGCCTTGGGACCAACAAACCTGCCAGGGGGTGGGGGTGGGGAAACAGGTGGGCATCTTGCCTGTCCCAGCTTCGCAGGAGAAAATGCCCAAGGGGAGGCTCCACACTCAAATTCAGGCTTATCAGCCTGTCTCTGAGATGAAGGGAAGGGCATTGGAAACAAGTTTTCAATACTAGTTAAAGTACTGAAGTTTGTTAAGGATTCAGTGATTTACACTTCAATAAATTAGGGCAGCACAATTTTCAACCTTTTTCATCTCTTGGCACACATATACTAATTACTAAAATTCTGCAACACACCAAAAAATACATTTTTTGCTGATCTGACCCCCAAAAAAGTATAATTTTGATTCATTCACACCGGATGGCTATTGTTGTGTTGGCTGTTATCATTTTTTTTGTTTAACCATCTAAGGGGAAAGAGGTCAGTGCTCCTGATTAAATACCCAAGTATTGCATGCTTTAAACATTCTTGTGGCACACTAGTTGAAAATCTCTGAATTAGAGTGATACAAGTTTTCACCCTCAAACGCTTGCATTCAGACATGCTTTCTTCCTGGTGGGTCATGGCTGGTACCCTGGGAGTAGCATACAATCCAGGGTATGTCCATGGCAGTGGTCATGCAGGACGCCATCCATCTGGTGTCAGGGCAGGAAAAAGATGAACTGCTGCTGGTCTAAATTAGGCCTGGCCACGCTTTCTCAGCCCCTCCCTCGTTTAAATCCGTCTTCCCAAAAAATGGGCTAGAGCTAAACCATTTTTTCCTCTGCAGGAAGGATGCGTAGGCTTCAGAGGAACAATACCAGGGGCAGAATATTTGCAGGCTGAAGTCCCGGGCAGGACGCAGGGTGAGATGTGCTCAAAGCAGAGCTCACCAGCCTACGATCTCTCCTACTTCCCCACTGTAGGGTCCCTGGGAAGCAGCTGGGGCCCAGAGATGGGTTTTCTGTTTTGTTTAAGGTAAAACCCAAAAGAGTTGATATAAATTTGTTTTCAAAGCACCTTTCTGGACTTAAAGCCAGAGCTCAGTGTCTCCTTTGCCATGGAGACGCAGAAGGAAAGGCAGAACTAGTTTTACTGTTAGCTTGTGGTTTTGTTTTTGTTTTAAAATGAAGGAAAAGCCAAAACTTTCTATGGCCTGGTGAATTAGCTGAGGCCTTGACCCTGCACTATGCATGGTATTTTACCCAGATGGGGTCCAGGGAAAGAATTTGGCAAAATGGATTGAGGAACACACTTGAATTTGGAATGAGAGTCCCTGATGTTTTTTGTGTCCTTGGAAATTCAGTCTCCTTTCAATGCCTAGATTCCCTTCCTGTCTCATAGGCCAGGCTTTGACACTGAGGTTCTGACTGTCCCCCAACACGGGGTAAAACCTGCTGAGGGCTGGGGAGGGGAGAAATACTTGCTGTAGTTGTGTGGAATAAACAATATTTTTCTTTTGTACTGGTCTGTTTGTTTCTCTTTCACCTCTTAGGGTGGGGATAATACGGGAACTCATGTCAGAGGTCAGGGAAGTATCAATGAGCTGCCTTTGCTGTCTGAGTTTATGGCCTGAAAATCCCATTACAAGAGGGTGAAGGTCAGTACCCTGGACTCCCACTTCAGAAGGCCCTGCCCCTGGCCCTCCAGCCATGACCTTCTCCATGGGGTGCAGAGTCAAGGAGATGTGCCCTTTCTCTTTCTAGATCACCCTCCTGGTACCTAGGACCCCAGAATACCTTGCCAAGTCCACTTTCCAGCCCCACTTCTCTGGGTTCTGACAATAGACATGTTGTTGGTGTGCATACTCCTAGGCTCAAGAGATAACCAAGGGGGCTGTTTGTCAGAGACCTGGGTGGATGCACTTTGGATATGCTACGGGAGTATCTATACATATACCCAAAGCACTTGGCAATGTGAGATAGGGCTGCAAGGGGGAAGAGAAGGCAGGATATAGGCTAGGGGCCAGGGTTGGGAAATCTTCTAGCACAGAACATCAAGGACTCTTAAAAGTTTAAATTCAAGCCCAGCCAGTGTGGCTCAGTGGATTGAGCATTGTCCCATGGACTAAGAGGTCCCAGTTCACTTCCTGGTCAGGGCACATGCCCGGGTTGCAGGTTCAGTCCCCAGTAGGGGGCGTGCAGGAGGCAGCCGATCGATGTTTCTCTACATCAACGTTCCTCTCTCCCTCTCACTTTAAAAAATCAAATAAAAAAAAGTTTAGCCCCGGCCAGTTGGGCTTAGCAGTTAGAGTGTTGGCGCACAGACCAATGAGTTGCAGGTTCAATTTTGGTCAAGGGCACGCACCTCGGTTACAGTTTGTCCCTGGCCCTGGTCAGGGAAGTGCAGGAGGCAACTAGTGGATGTCTCTCTCTCTCTCTCTCCCTCCCTCCCATTCTATCTAAAGATAAATGGAAAAAATATTCTCAGGTGAGAATTGTAAAAAAAAGAAGTTTAAATTCAAACCTGGCCTTCCAGGTCCTTATAAAGGTACACTTATCATCATCAGCTGCTAGATCATTCACAATTAGCTTGGTTTATACTTTATAAAATGTAGATATATAGCATGTGGGTCTTCACTTGTGCTCTTCCTTAGGCCTACGAATGTTAGGGGTAGGCCTGATACTTGAGCTTAGAGCTGGGAGAGCACAACGGTAATAAAGGTCTCTCTCTCTGCTTGTCTGCCTCCTAGGAGTAGGGTTTAGGCTATGCTCCCCTACAGCCCTCCCTCTTCCCCCCTCCACCTACCTGGTATTGATGAGGTCTGGGCTTCATAATCTGAATTGGTGAGAGCAAGGCATCACCTTTGATTCCACCCAACCAGAATTTCTAAGCCAGGCTCTGTGCTGGGTTCTAGATCATGCTCCATCATCCCACCTCTACCCAAGGGGCAATAGATGTCTAAGATTCTGATGTAAGGCTTAGGGATTAGAGGAGCTGCATAGCACTGTGAAATAATGAGGCAAAAAATTAAATAGAAGCCAACACTTACCTCTGCATGGATCTCTAATACTAGCTGTCCACACTGTGAGTACTGTGGGTACTGTGAGTCCTCAGTACCCAGCCTAGGGGCACACAGTGAGTGCTTGATAAATTTCAAATAGATGACTGAATGTCTCTCCTGTCCTCTCCTTCAAGGCAATAATAAGAGCTGATATGCTGACTTCAGGCTACTGAGAGAAAGCAGGTAGAAAGAATTTTGCTGAGCTGTGCAGGGTTTCAGTTTGTGATATGTGGGAGTGAATGGAATCTGGGTAGCAATTGGCCTTGACTGGAGAGAGGCAGATCCCATCAGAACAGTCAGTGGAAGCTGATATCTCTGGTTCAGACCAGTTGAGTGTGGTTCTTGGCAGTTGGCCCAGGTTTTAGAGCTAGGGAGGTGTGGTTTGTGGAGAAACTGTAGGTTCTATTCCCAGTTCTATCTAGGACATTCTTTTGGGTTCCTGGACCCAATTGCAATGTGTGTATTTGTGTGTGTGTGTCCACACTAACAAGCAGTTCTCAGACACCAGCAGGGTGTCCAAAGAATTCAACTCAGTTCTGACACTATCTGCCTACAGATAGCATTAGATTCCACAGATAAATATCTCACCCTCCACTTCAGACACCAATCCAGGACCCAAGTTATTTCCTGTGCTTCTGACCAACCTACTGCATGTTGGAGGCTCCAACTACCTCCTCTAACTCAGGATACCAATCGCAAGTTCAGGCTGTTACCAGTGCTCTTACCGATTGGCTATAAATCAGAGGTTCCCATGACCCCCTCCTTACATTTGATTAATTTGCTAGAACTGCTCACAGAACTCAGAAAAACCATTTACTTACTAGATTGCCAGTTTCTTACAAAGGATACTGAGGATATGAACAACAGCCAGATTTAGACATACATAGGGTGAGATCCTGAACAATGGGGCTTCTGACCTTGTGAACTTGGGGCCTGACACAATGGCTCTAGGAAGTGTTCTGGTTCCCCATCCCAGAACCTCTCTAAACCCCTTCCTTATGCCTAAGTAATAAAGCCCATAAGGAAGGGGTTTAGAGAGGTTCTGGGATGGCCATTGGTAACTGGTTAAACCTCAGCCCCTCTCCCCTCCCCTGACATGAGGGGGTGAGACAAAAAGTTCCAACCTTTGTCCAGCCAGTGTGGCTCAGTGGATTGAGTGCCATTTCATGGACTGAGAGGTCCT